CTTGTTTTTGATTAATTTTTCTAAATTTTTTGTGACCCCACAAAAATAAATTGATAATTTTTAAATTCAATAAATCCATAAATAATCACTGCAAATTGCTATGGACACAAATATTCTCTTCAAGGTTCTCTTTATTGAATTTAAAAATTGTCAATTTATTTTTGTGGAGTCACAAAAAATTTAGAAAAATTAGGTTCCACGACAAAATCTCCCCGGAAAAAATCTCCTCGACAAAATACGCTTCAAAATCTCGTTGTGCCCTTTTATCATGATTTTTGTGTATATTTACACGAAAAAGACCATCACAACTGTCAGGAATATTATAATTTAAAATTAGATTTTAGAGGGGAGATTTTTTCCGGGGAGATTTTGTCGTGTCACCAATTAAAATTACCAGGGGTCATTTTTTTGGTCAACCTATCGCAGAAAAATAATCAAAGATCCATTTCTGGGTAATAATTACCAAAAATACTCCACACTGAAAAAAAAAATTCTTGACTGAAGTGTAAATTTTCTTGGCTCAAGAAAATATTAAGGAAGGTTGAAAATTTCTTGAATGAAGTCAAAGTTTTCGAGCCAAGAAAATTTTTTTCTTGCTCCAAAATAACTTTCGTTTTTCTTAAAATTTTCTTGGCACAAGAAATTTGTTTTTTGTGTGCAGGGATTATCAAATTGCTGTTTTCCACTTATTTTTATTAAATTAAATCAATAATTCATTTATCATTTGATCCAAATAATATATTAACACCCCAAATAAACTCCTATCTGGTCAACTATATTAAAAAATGAATCATAAATTTTTCAACATCAATAAACCTTAAAATTAAAAATAGCGGGAACAACCAAATATCTCATGCACTTCTTATCCAATAGCGTCAATGGAAGCGTAACTATAAATACAATCTTGCATGCACCCACAGTGAGTCACCATCTGCCGTAACACTTATCCTCGTGTTACACACATACACACATAAAACCCTTCCCCCACCCGTAAAACTACGTCACCGATCGTCCATTGTCTGCCTCGTGCTCGCCATTTCCAGTCTCGTACCACCCTTTGCAAATGCCCGCTCTTTTTCAAAATTATTCCCCTTCTCCTTCACTTGTTTCTCCTCAAACTCCCTTCTTACTCCACGCCCTCCATCCTCCTACTAAAAATTTAAATATTTTCCGCATTTCTTCCCTCAATTCTCAATTATATTCCTCTATTACGTTAAAAGCGCATATTTTTTTCCTCCTACGGCCCTGAGCTCTCCTGCGCATGCTTAAAAATATTATCACTACTCCTCGGTATGTATTTCTGTAAAATAGTGATTGCAATATTTACTTCCAAGTTCGACATTTAATTACAGCCAAAATTATTAATTTGAGTAGTTAAATCCGTTAATTCAATAGGGAGTCTCAAAAATAAAGACACGCGCGAGCCTATAATTTCCGCCATCTTATTTTTCATATATATATTTTCAGAATTGTTGAATCAGCGTTTCGGAGGTACTTGAGTATTGCTCATTAGTGATTGCTTAGACAATTAATTAAACCGAGTTGTTAAAACTTTTGTAGTGTGGTTTAGAGAAAAAATAAATAAATTTAAAAATAAGTGGAGTGTTTTATAAATAAAATAATAAATCATGCATAAAATATTGGGTATGAATAATTGCAAGGTATTTTCAGTGCTTAGAAGTCCCGATGAGGGTGAATCTGATCGTAAAGTCTAAGCAAAAATAACTAAAAGTGACGTAACATTCATTTTAATAAACTCTTAAGGACTTATCAAAGATTTAATAATTAGCTGCTTATATTATTATTATTAATACTCTAATTGAAAACGTGTCAGGTTATGCCTTATCTCAAGCAAGATAATCTTGATTAGTTGGAAAAAAAAAAAAAATATTAAAAATTGCCGTTCGCGGTAGTAGAGTATCTTCACAACCCGTAATGTATTTGCGAGAAAGGGAGCACCGAGGGATTGAATTATTAAAATCACCTGGATCTGTGACCTCAGGCTCGGAAGCTTTTGCTTCAACCAAAAAATCTTTGGAGCTAAGAACCCGGCTCGGATTGAACGAATCCAAGGGTGGATTTGGAATGATCCAGGAGGCTCAGGCCGTGATAACGCCACGATTTGGGTGGCTCAAGCTCACCGATCCTGGAGACTGACACGAAAAAAGCGACATTAGGACGGCGCGATAGCACTTGCCGTTAGATTATTCTGTAGAATTTTTTGTGTGATAAATTAAATTAAATTATTTTGATTTATTAGTACGGACTTTGGTCTTGATCTCCGATGTCTCTGGTGATTAACAGTTTTCCGGCTGAATCCGGGACTTGATCAGGACTATTATGAAGGGACAACCAAAGATGGCGGGACACCGGTGTCGGTAGCAGAAGGGGCTGCGCTTCCCTGTTGTTTTCCTTTTTTTTTTTTTTTTTGTCAATCCGGGTGATTGTGGATATAGTGCCATAGATTATTATTATTTTTGTTTTTATTATTGTCATCGTTAGGTTAAGATAATATGGACAATTGTGCCGAGGGGTAGCTTTTTATTGTTTATGGTTGTTATGCATTAATTATTATTATTATTATTATTATTATTATTGATGTAATTGTAACTGTTGTATGTAAAAATAAGCGGGTAGAATTTATTAAATTTAATAATTAGCTTGTAAGTCTATTGCCAAAATTTTAAGTAGTCATTTTTAACAATGCCGGCTACACCGAACAAGCTCAATTTGAGCTTCGCGCGAAACGCGTACAATACTTTGAGCAACCGTACACCTACGGAAAGTGTCGACCCTCAGGTTGAGCAAAAAAAAGAGTTGTTAGAGGGTAAGATTATTTTGGGGTGATTTTTTTTTATTTTGGGACGTTAAGGAAATACTCAAGGGTTTTTTTTTACAGGTACCAGGGGAAACGGACTCGTTCAGCTTAAGAATGGGGTGGATTATATTAATCCGGGGCAAGAGGACCAGATGGAGATTTATGGGTAATTTTTTTTCTTTTAATGTTAAATAAATTATTACACTGAAAAAAAAATTTTTTTCCACCCAGAATACAAAATATTTTTATCCAAGTTTTTTTATATCTAATATACGTTTCTTAAGGGGTTAAGTGGGTTTCAGAGATTCAAAAAAAGGGTATTTTTACTTTTTTTTTTTTTTTTTTTTTCAAAGATACGTATTTAAACAGTATTTTGTGAAAAAAAAAAAATTCTCTTGCCATGGACAGCATAACTCTTTATTGATTTATCTAAAATCAAAGATCCAAACATATTTCGTTAGTACATGGATAAATCTCGTTATTGGACGAAGGAAAAAGAAAAAAATTAAAATTTGAATTTTTGACAGACTTTGAAAAAAAAAAAACACATTTTTTGGTCGAATTTTTGCCATGTATTTGCTCGAAAAAATTAGTTGTGATAAAAAAAAAAAATCCTTCGTCCAATCACGAAATTTATCCATGTACTAACGAAATATGTTTGGTTCTTTGATTTTAGATGAACCAATAAGTTATGCTGTCCACGGGAAGAGAATTTTTTTTTTTTTGAGACGTCAAGGGAGATGAGGTACCAACGGCTGAGTTTTCAGAATTTTTAAATTTGATATGCTGAATTGTTTAAATAAAATATATGATTGTATATGTTAAAAAAAAAAAAAAATTAAAAATACCCTTTTTTTGAACTTGTGAAACCCACCTAACCCCTTAAAATATATATATAAAAAAACTGGTATTTTTCGTTTGTTTACATCATTGAAAAGTTGTGCTGATTTTTATAATTTATTGAAAAATTACAAAGCTGCATTACAATTGATATTATAATTTGGATGGATCCTTGGGTATGAAAAAAGATGCTTGAATGGAATTTACGTAATTAAAAATTCAATTTTTCAACGATTTAGTTAATAATTAATTTAATTTTTTTTAATTGAATTATTATGATTAATTTAATTTAATTATAATTAATTTGATTTTCCTTAATTTAATTATAATTGATAAATTAATAATTATTAATTTATTAGTTATAATAAAAACAATCCACAGTATTATAAACACATCATTTGCATCTGTGTCAAATGAGGTTGAATCGGGCATATTTTTATTTTGGTATTTTGCTGAGGGCGAAACTGAGTTTTTAAAAAAAAACTATACTTTTTAGTGTAGAAAAAAAATTTTGGAATTATCCTCACAGGAATACCAGTTTCTTTACTAGAGGGGAAAATTTGCTGGATGGAAAAAAACTTTTTTTTCAGTGTAGATTATTTAAAAATAAGAAATTTTGAAATAAGAAGGATGAAAAAAATGAGAATTTTTAATACTTTTTTTTTTTTTTTTTTTTTTTTTTTTCACGCCAATTAAAAATTATTTTAAAGAACTTTGAAAAATTTTATCGTCTTAATATCGAGTTATTATATTGTATTTCAAATTGAGTTCAGAAAAATTTGAACGAAAATTTTTATTGTGAACAAAGTTATCGCCATTTTTATCGGAGCCAGTTTCCTAAATTAGTGCTTCAAGGTGACTATCATCTCTTTATTAGTTAATTAAAAATCAATAGAACAAAAATAATCATTAGATTAATAGTAAATTTAGGACGAAGATCGAAGCTTTTTTTTTATTTTAGAAATTGAGAAAATAGCGTCTAATAGTTTACTCGCAAATTTAAAAAAAAAAAAAGTAAAAATTTATTGTAGAATAAATTAAAATTAAAAAAAAAAAATGAATCCTTGGGTCAAAGATTTGCGTTTTGTTCTTTAAAATTCTAAGAATGAATTTTGAATGAGAGTGGTCACCGAGTTTGAAAATATAGTTTTGAGAGTTACAAGTTTTTTTTTCTATTATTGTTCAAATTTTATAACGCAAAAACTATGAATTTTATTTTAATTTTAAATTTGTTTTAAAACTATCCAAATTAATGAAAAAGAACTAATAAAAAAAAATTTTTTCAACAATTTTGGTGTCTCAATTCACTTGGGTAATAGTTAAATATCTGGAAAAATAACAAAATTGACAAAACTGCACCTCAAACCTCATTATGACGTAGAAGTAATCCAGAAAAATAAAATAATAATATGTATTTTGTTTTGTATCATATCGTCATTGTATTTCTTTGGCGGTTTGCTCACGTTTCTTTCGTAATTCAATATATTACTGGAATAAAAAAAATTTATCACGTAAGTGCTGATAATAACAATAAATAATTGCGATTGTTATTGAAATAATGTATATAAACGAAGAACATTTAAATTTATTCTCCAAGTTTTCAATTATTTTTATCATTCACAATTCGCAATGTATTTATAATAATCTTGACATTGAAAAAATGTATACATTGTATAGATATTGAAATTGGAATAATCAGTAGAGATTAAACAATCTTATTAATTACTGATAATAGATTATTTTTTTAGTAATTGTTTAGTTTCACGGTCACCTGATTTTTTTTCATCAGAAATCTAAAAATAAACATTTTAAATAAAAATTTTGTGAATTTTTATATTTTTTCTTTTTTCAATAAAATTGACATTTTTTAATCATCTATAATTTTAAATAAAGTTGCATCATCCCTTAACTTGCAGCAACCGTAATTTCGTTAATTGTTATAATAGCAAAAAAATTGAAGAGATCATTTTTAATTAAAATTGTGAGCTCTAAAACATTTATCTAAGATTTTTTTCTCGAGCTCTTACCTCTTTCCCATAATCGTTAATAATTTGAAGACACTTAAGAACAGGTCCCGTCTTTTTCTCTCCTTGCACTCATCAAGAGAAACCGTACTATCTTTGTAGCACTCGCTCTGATATAAAATAGATAATTTAATAATCTATCGAGTACTAGAGAGTTTTTTCTAAAATTTTTCTTTATTTAGGAGAAATTTACGTAGCTGCAATAGCTGTGACCGGCTCTTATTAGTTAATTAAAAAAAAAAAAAATTTAGAAAAGCAAAAGCTAAAATTTATTGAACTAGAACTTAAAACAAAAAAATTTTTATCAAAACTCAATTAGAATAACTCGGTATAATTAATTTTACAAAATAATTATTAAAAAAAATTCTAATTTTTTCATCGCTCTGACGAACTACTTTATTTTTAAGTTACACTCAAAAAAAATTAACTTGAATCAAGAGAAAAAATTCTTAAATGAAGAAAAATTTCTTACACTGATAAAAAAATATCTTCATTCAAGAAAAATATTCTTGCTCTAAGAAAATTATTTTGAAGAGAACTAGTAGTCTTATTTCAAGAAATTCTTTTCTTGATTTCATGTTTCTTGGAGTGAGAGATCTAATCACTCCGATCGATAAAATTTTTACTTGGTTCAAGACTATATTATCTTCGATCGATACAAGTGAATTCTTTATTCAAAAATGATTCTCTTCAACAAAGAATAATTTTATTTCATTTAAAGAATTATTGATTGCTGATTCAAGAACAAACTTTTTTATTTATAATGTTATAAGTTTAAGTCAGAAAAAAACTTTGAAGTAAAAAAATTTGTATTTCTCTATTCGCCGAAAAAAACAACCAAGTTTAAAACAACCAAGTTTCTTGATTCGAGAATCAATTTCTTAAGTCAAGAGAATTGAATTACTTGAAACAAGAATGACATTTTGATGAATTAATTTTTTTTCTGTAGTAATACTTAGAAATTAGAATTCTTCAATAAAATTCAATCCGCAATAAAAACTTTAATTTCAGATACCGCAGAAGCAAAATTTTCACAATAATAACTTGGATTCTAATAATAGCGACCGGAGGTCTCCTACGACTAGTGTTCCACTGGGTACCACACTGGATGCTGCGGGCGACTCACTCAAAATGTCCGCTGGAGGAAGCGGATACCGTGCTGCTTGTGGAGCGGTTCCAGGGGAAACACGCGTACTACTACGTCAAACGAGTCAGAACTCTAACTGCCGCTGACGTATCGTAAGAACTTTACCTTCCTCCCTCTATCCACCCTCAAACCTCTATTTCATTCTAAAACCAAAAACTTTTAGGAAGAACGCGCTGGACAGCGAAACGCTGATCGACGAATCGTGGACCGGATCAGGCAGCGTGAATTCGACAGACCTAGCCGGAGTGACCACTATCGACGACTCTCTTAAGCTGTCAGTCCACTTGCACAGCGGCCATTTTAGACAGGTGTCCTCCATCTTGATGTTCACTTGCAAGAAACTCGTTTACATCTGGGACACCGAACGCGGGGAGTTTCTTAAGCTTGCTGGGCTAGATTTCGGCGTCTCTACGTCTACGTTGCACCAAATGCCGGGACTGAGTTCTCAGGAGCAATTTCTCAGGTGAGAAATAAAAAATTCAGCTAGTTTTATTTATCCTGGTCTCAAAAACTAACTACAATTGCGTAAATTACAGGCGAAGCGTTTACGGCAACAACGAGATAAAAATCCCTCTGAAAAGCTTCCTCCATTTGCTGTGCCTCGAAGCGCTGAATCCATTTTACGTCTTCCAATTGTTCAGCTTCTGCCTGTGGATCGCTGACGATTACTACTACTACGGACTGGCAATCATGTCAATGTCTTGCTTCGGTATAACTATGGCAGTGGTTCAAACCCGTCGGGTAAGTTAATAACTCGATAAATTAAACTACTCAGAGTATTTATACCTCCAAGGATACAAAAAAACATTTTTAACTCAAATCTAACCTTCGATTACAGAACCAAGAGAAGCTCAGCTCAACAGTCCACTCATCAGACGTCGCGACGGTGATGCGGGACCGCACTACCGGCAAAGCAGATTCCATAACTTCCGAGCGTATAGTCCCCGGCGACATCCTTGTAATCCCTCCTCACGGTTGCCTGATGCCCTGTGACGCAGTCCTGCTCACTGGAACCTGCATCCTAAACGAATCGATGCTCACCGGCGAGTCAGTCCCAGTGACCAAGACCCCGATCCCCTCCTCTTCAGAATTGACCTACGACACCAAAGAACACGCAAGACACACCCTCTTCTGCGGCACCAAGGTCATCCAGACCCGGTACTTCGGGGGTGAGAAAGTCCTAGCCGTGGTCATCAGAACTGGATTCACCACCAGCAAGGGAGAGCTAGTCAGGTCAATAATGTACCCCCCGCCAGTTGACTTCAAGTTTGAGCAGGACTCCTACAAGTTCGTCGAGATCCTCGCCTGTATCGCGGTAGTGGGTGCCATCTACACCGCGATCTCCAAGTCCCTTCGTGGATTGCCTACTCGAGACATTATCTTAGAAGCTCTGGACCTCATCACCATAGCAGTTCCTCCAGCTCTGCCCGCTGCCATGACAGTAGGTCGGTTGGTCGCCCAAAACCGCCTGGAGAAGCGCAGGATCTACTGCACAAGTCCAAGGGCGATCAACGTCTCTGGGTCCATCGACTGCATCTGCTTCGACAAGACTGGAACCCTTACTGAAGACGGTCTTGACATGTGGGGCGTCGTCCCATCAACTGACAGGAAGTTCCTTGTCCCTGTCAAGAATATCGTTAGCCTACCAGCCACGGAACTCTTGTTCGGGATGGTCACCTGCCATGAAATCACCATCATCGACGGCAACCGGGTTGGAGACCCCCTAGACCTCAAGATGTTCGAGTCCACTGGCTGGAGCCTCGAAGAACCCGACGTCTCTGACAACACCAAGTTCTCCATGATGTTCCCCAACATCGTTCGTCCGCCTAAGGACTCAAAGCTGCTTAACCAGTTCTCTTTGCCCGGAATTTCGCCGGCTCACCAGAATTCTATCGCCAACTCCGAGGTTGAAAATATGTCCTTGAACAACCTGGCGGCTTCTGACGCAGAATTAGCGGAGCAGGGCCTGGAGATCGGAATCATCAGGCAGTTCCCTTTTACGTCCAGCTTGCAGCGAATGAGTGTCATCACAAGAACGTTGGGCGCCAATCACTACGATCTTTACTGCAAAGGGAGTCCCGAGATGATCCAGTCCCTCTCGATTTCAGAGTCAATCCCGGCAGACTTTGCGTCTGTCCTCCAAGAGTACACTTCTGAAGGCTACCGGGTGATCGCAATTGGGCACAAGCCGCTGAACAAGCTGACCTACGCAAAGGTTCATCGGCTAAGTCGGGAGTCTGCCGAATCCGAGTTGAATTTCTTGGGCTTCGTAGTGCTGGAAAACCGGCTCAAGCTGGAAACCACTCCGGTAATTGAAGAGCTGAACCGCGCTTGCATAAAAACAGTAATGGTCACCGGAGACAACATCCTCACCGCACTGTCAGTCGCCCGAGATTGTGAGATGATCAAATCCGACATGCCAGTGATTCAGGTGACGGCAGTCCAAACTGGCCAGCAGTTCCAAGTCTACTTTTCGCGTAGTGACGTATCTCCAATTCCATCAAGCATCAGCGAGATAACAGATCTGAACAGTATCGTTTCGTTGGAAATCGAGAGCGGGTCCTTCGTTCGTCCAGACAACGCTTATCTAGATGACTACCACAAGAACAACAAGTACGTGTTTGCAGTAACTGGCAAGACCTGGGCGATCTTGAAACAGTTCCATCCTGAGTTGATTCCAAAGATCGCGACTCGGGGAGCCATTTACGCTCGGATGTCTCCAGACCAGAAGCAGCAGCTGGTCCAGGAATTGCAAGGGTTGGGATACTACGTCGCAATGGTTGGAGATGGTGCTAATGATTGTGGTGCGCTTAAGGCTGCCCACACTGGAATATCTCTGTCTGACACGGAATCATCAGTGGCTTCCCCATTCACCAGTCGGGAGACCAACATCTCTTGCCTCCAATCGGTGATCCGCGAAGGCCGGGCTGCTTTGGTCACTTCTTTCGGAATCTTCAAATACATGGCTGCCTACTCTTTGACGCAGTTTGTTTCAGTGATGATTCTTTACGAGATTGACTCCAACCTGACGGACTTTGAGTTTCTGTATATTGACCTGCTGATCATATCGATTTTCGCGTTCTTCCTGCCCAGGACGGCGGCCTACGACGGACCGCTGGTGAAGGATCCACCACTGACTAGTTTGATCAGCACGTCGTCGATCCTGAGCATCGCCAGCCAAATGATTATCGTTACGATTTTCCAGGTGCTTAGCTACTGTAACCTCAAGCAGAATGTGTGGTACGAGCCCTTTAACGTCGAGAAGATCGAAGACAAGGATGATGTGTCCTGTTATGAAAACTACACGCTCTTTATCATCAGCTCGATGCAGTATATCATTCTGGCAGCTACTTTTTCTAAAGGACATCCTTATCGGAAGAACATCTTCACTAATCACGGTCTTCTAGCCTCGTTCATCTTGATGTCGTTGTTCTCCAGCTACCTGGCTATCTGCCCGTTCCAATGGCTAGAGACCCAGTTTGAGCTGAAAATGCCGCCGGAGATGTCCTTCAGGGTGAGACTAGTGCTGTATGGAGCGGCCAATCTGGTGATAGCGCTGCTGGTGGAGCATCTGGTGATAGACTACCTGATCTCGGGAAAGCTCCGGTACCGTTGGCACAACCTGGACAAGTCCAAGCGTAAGTTTCTGGCGCTGGAGCGAGATATGGCCAGAAATACCAAGTGGCCACCATTAACCCAGGAACCACCAACTCCTGACGCTGCAGCGGTTCCGGATTTGATCAGGCGGAATACGGTCACTGAAATCAAGATCGAGAAACACGTTCCAGAAAATGTTCCATTGACACCTGCGAAAGGGTTCCTTGGAGGAGGAAAGAGATCACTGACAATGGGGAACAAGTTCGGGTCAGCAAGAGAGGTCACGCTCAATCCGACTAGCTTGGTTAATGACAGGAATACAGTGTCAATGCAAATTGTGTCTTGCTGTGAAAATGAAGAGCTCAAGGATATTCCTAAGAAGTTAGTGAATGGAAATGGGACTGGATATGATGGTGGTAATGGTAAAAGACGACACAACTCGGAGTCTGAGAACGGACTTGGGAGAGACAACCCGCTGGGTAGACTTACGTCGATAAATCCGATAGCGACGTTACCAAGAAACCAGTCAGCGATTTACCAGAAGATTAGGGAGGGAAATTCGGAAAGGATCAACAAGAGCGAGGATCTCAGAAGAGGACAAAGTGTATTGGAGATGGATGTGCTGCCATCTTGAGATAAGCTGATGGCCTTTGTTTGGTCAAAGGGTTTTATACTGAGGTTAATTGTGCTGATAGTATGACACAGGACTATGAGCATTTAATTTCATTTTTTATTGGAGTCAATGCTGCCGTTTAGAGGGTTGTTACTTAAATTTTGGTGCTGTAATATAATCATATATGATCATTGGAAAATTTTATGTTGTCCTATTCGCCATTTTTCCATAATCTATGATAGTATATTATCATATAGCCTTACATCTTGATCATATAACATCAGATATTGTTAATATATGATCACATAATATAATTTAATAAAGCATTCGATATTGTATCTATGTGACTATATACAATCAGATGCTACCAGATATTGTTCATATACCATCAGGTCTTGGTCATATACGGTTTTGTATCATCAATTAACATCAAATATTAGCTATATATGATCTTATGCTATATAGGGCATCAGATATTGTTCACATATGACCGTAGGCTATCATATAGCCTTACATATTGATCACATACTATCATAGGTTATCATACATCCAACATCATTCATATATGATGACATGTTAGCATCAGATATTAGTTATATATGATCTTATGCTATCTAGGGCATCAGATATTGTTCATATGTGATCGTATGCTATCATATAGCCTTAAACATTGATCACATATGATCATAGGTTATCATACATCCAACATCATTCATATATGATCACATGTTAGTATCAGATAATGATCATATATGGTTTTATATCATGAATTATCATCAGATATTAGTTATATATGATCTTATGCTATCATAGGGCATCAGATATTGTTCATATATGATCATAGGCTGTCATATAGCCTTACATATTGATCACATATGATCATATATTATCAAGTTATCATACAGTATCCGACATCATTCACATATAATCACATGCTATCATTTAGCATCAGATAACGATCATATATGGTTTTATAACATCATATAGCATCCGATATTGTCCATACATAGTAGTATTACATCTTATAGCATCAGATATTGTTCATATATGACTATATATTGTTTATATGTGATGATATACGGCAAAAATACGATTTTATTTCTGTGTTCATATGCAACCGATTACATCATATAGAAAAAAAAAATAATGTGAACCCAATCAGATATTGATGATGTAAGACGAAAAATTAAAAGTTCTGAAGTCTGAAATATTAATTAAAAATTTTTGTTTTTAAGTTTATTCGATTTAAAAGCATTAAAAAATGAAGTAATTCAAGTAACAACCACTCTAATAATTATTATCAATATAGATTATTTATTCTCGAGTCCCTTTTGACTTGACTATTTCAATGAATAATTATATCATTTAGTATTTAAAATCCAAATTGATAAACAAAGTATTAATATTTCTAGACAGTTAGACCGTTATATTTCGAGAATATTATATTCTTTGTTTTTATTTATTTAGAATTTGCATTTTAGGGTTCGTTACTTACTAACCAGCCACTTAATGATTATAATTACATTACTTATTATTATTACCAATAAAAGAAATTTTTTTTTAAATTAACAGCACAGTTTTTTTTTTTTTTTTTTTAGAGAGATTACCGTATTTTAAGTTACTCGTTTTGTTTGCAGCGCAATTAAAACTACAAAAATATAAATAAATATGTGTAAATTAATTAACGGACAACTTGATGCTTAAACATGAAGAATAATTAATATTAATTGTACGATAAGTAATGATTAATAATAAAATAAAATGAATAAATAAAATGAAATCAAATGTTAGAAAATAATTATTGAAATTATTGAATTTTTATTTGTTAATTAATAATTATTATTATATCATGAGTACTTTACAACTCATTTTTATATGTGCGCATCGATTCTTAATTAAACAAATAGATTTTCTTTTGTTAGACATTTTTTTCCGTAATTGTGTACTTATGTATAATTATTTAATAAAAGAAATATATTAATTCATTTAACGTAGGCTGAAAAAAAAATAGATATATTTAATATAGAGAATTGTTAAAAGAGTATACGTAAATATTGTTTTGATTATATATGTATGTATTTATAAATATAGATATAAATATAAATAAATTGATGAAAATAACTTTAAATGGTAATAATTTATAAAACACAATTATTAATTTGTATTGACGATTTTTTAAAAATTTGTTTTCATAATTGTAATTAATTGTAACGGTATAGTTCATTTTGAGAATGAAATTTATGAATTAATAATAAAAATCTAAATATATAATTGATATGTTTTTAATTATTTTAAAAATGTTTATCCTTTAAAAGTAATTTAAGGTCAAAGTTGAAATCTTAGGTTTTGCACACCTCATAAGCAAAGCGGATTCTACTCGCTTACAAAAATCAAGTAATTTTTTTAACTAAAATTTTCTCTATTTATTTTCTACCGCACTTGTAGAATAATATGTACACATAAATGTCATGGTAAGAAACTAGTTTCAACACATGACATTTTAGGTAGATTTCGTAGAAATCTCTCTATTGCATTGGACCTTGTGTCGGAATTCACACGGAATTTTGTCATTTTATCTCTTATATAGTCGAGTAAAGCTCAAAATTAGCATTGGTTCAAAAGTTTATATATTTATGTATATATATATATATATATATATATATATGTAATATAACGCGGCTTGTGGACACGATAGCGTCTACAATTCTCAACGGATTTAGATGAAACTCGGTACACATATTCTTTAGGTAATTACCTTGAACGAGTTCGAAGATGAGCAAAATCGATCAATTAGTTTAGAAATGGCGGCCATTTAAAATTTTCAAAAAAGTGAAAATCACGTTTTTGGCCACTTAATTGATGTATAACTTTTGATTGAACAGAGATAGCTAATTTTAGAAAAATTTATGTGATAGCTCATAAAATTACCTTTAATTTGATGTATATAACATTGACATTTTGACCATTTTTAGTTATTTTATCAAAGTTAAGAGTGCAACTGAACCATTTTCAGGCAATGTGTAGTACAACCGACTTATGAATGTTATATTATCGAAAATTCTTAACAGATCCTAACGAAATTTAGTATATTTAGATTCCTTGGACGATAAGCTTGCATGAGCCCTAAAATGAGCAAAATTCGTCAATTAGTTTGGAAATGGCGACCATTTAAAATTTTCAAAATAGTGAAAATCACGTTCTTGGCCACTTCATTGATGTATAACTTTTGATTGAACAGAGATAGCCAATTTTTGAAAAATTCATGTGATAGCTCATGAAATTACCTTTAATTTGACATATATAACATTGACATTTTGACCATTGTTAGTTATTTTATCAAAGTTAAGAGTGCAACTGAACCATTTTCAGGCAACGTGTAGTACAACCGACTTATGAATGTTATATTATCGAGAATCCTTAACAGATCCTAACGAAATTTAGTATATTTAGATTCCTTGGACAATAAGCTTGCATGAGCCCTAAAATGAGCGAAATTCGTCAATTAGTTTGGAAATGGCGACCATTTAAAATTTTCAAAATAGTGAAAATCACGTTCTTGGCCACTTCATTGATGTATAACTTTTGATTGAACAGAGATAGCTAACTTTTGAAAAATTTATGTGATAGCTCATAAAATTACCTTTAATTTGACGTATATAACATTAACATTTTGACCATTTTCCATTTCGGGTGTGGCCGAATGGCGTTTTTTTAAAAGACATTTTGCTTCTTAAATAATTAAAAAAAATGTTTAAAAAAATTATTCCGTGGACGGCGTCCATGTGTCTGATGTCGAAAAACTTAACTGATCAAGTCCATTTTTTTTTTAAACTCTTCAGTATTATTCAAAACTAAGTCCTTTCGAAGACCAGGGTCTAATTCAATGTAGTTTAATTATAATTAGCAATAAACTAAAATCCACTTATCATTTGTATATCTATATCTATGTAAATAAGATTCATTTACAACACATGCGCAGTACCTTTCTTTTCTGGGTAGACAATGCCGCGAAAGATTTAAAAGTATTTGTATTTTATTTTAATCAATTTTATTATGGAAAATGAGATTATGAGGCGTGCATTTTTGAATTTTCCAAACTTTTTTTTGGCGAATCTATCCAATTAATTTCGAAATTTTCATTCCAATAATATTTTTCAATGTTCTAAGAAATTTTTCATACGAATTTTTCCATTTATTTTCAATCATAATTTTTTATATATTTCATTTACTTCGCGGTGAATTTAAAAATCATAAATTATTAATTAAAAGAAAAAAATCATATTATTAAATTATTATGAATGTATTTTTTTTTATGAATTTTGAAAAAATTATTAAATTTTTCACAATTCAATAAGATTGTTAAAATTATACTCGATGGGGTCCAAAATTGTAAAAATTAAAAAAATTATATTTTCTTGATCAACTCTCAAAAAGTTTTTACAAAAGTTTGGCTCACGTCATACCCGAATCATTTAAATTAATGCTCATATATGCAACTTGTCATTAAAAACTTGAATATTGTTTTTTGCGATTTTTCAGTTATTATAAATTGAACCTCATCAAATGGAATACAAAAGATCTATACGATGCAGAGTTAAAAAATAACAAAAAAAATGCAACGTCTTTGTAAATAAAATCATTCTAAACAATTAACTTTCCTTTCCATTCATTTTATCTTAATTTAAATAATCTTGCAAACATAAATACAAATGAAAGAAACGCATGCGCACATCGACTTCATATAGAAATCTGCTCACAAAAATATAATATTACATATGGCAGCCTGAAGAATAAAAATTAGGAGAAAATTATATTAGAAATCTTCTATTTACAATTAAACAAATAATCACGATTTTTAAATTCGCTCTTGCAATTTGATATCCGAATCGAATGAAAAAAGAATCAGGTCATTTAATTTTGTTTTTTGAGAGTTATAGTGTTAACAAAATCATAATTGCAAAGAAAATTTAACTAAATTTTAATTTTTTATATAAAATTATTCATCGATTAACTCTAAAATA